CCTTCCATACAAAATCTGGCATTGCCATTTGACAGTTGACGGACGGATTTGGATAAGAATTGATCAGCAATGATGAAAAGCTATGGCTTTCACTATTGTTTGTAAATATTATTATCTGTAAAGAATAAAGGTATCATTTAAATTTAATAAAGCATTGTTTCATTGTGTTGTAAGCAGACAAATAAATTGACTGAGCTGTGTATTTATTCTGAAAAATAAAACATAAAATACGTAAAACACTTTATTATTCAATCTCTGTTTTAACTTTCTTCAATGCTACATCTACATAGTCATCCATTTTTCTTTTTAATGATTCATCTCCGCTCGCTTCTGTAACTTCTGCATTTTCTTGTCTGCTCACTTCTGAGTTCTCCCCGCTCATATTGAGGCTGTCATTGGCTTCGGAGTTATTTTCTGCGCCCGCTTCTGAGTTTTCATCTCCCGCTTCCCCAGTCTTGTCCTTCGACTTCTTGCGTCTGTGATAGTTGTTCTGCATCGCCTGGTAATCGCACGACGTGTCCACTTTGAGGAGTTCCCGCAAAGCCATGGTGGCGTAACAGCTCGCCGGCAGAGACATTTCTAGGAGCAGCGCTTTGTATTTGCCGTCTGAAATCAGATAAAATAGGTTAAATGTATTTTTTTTTGTAGTAAGAACAAATGAAAAATTATAATTTTAGTTTTGGAGTAGAACAGTATTAACACTTAATAATAATATGCGTAGATTTCCTGAACTAAATACCAAACACTGGCTGCTTGATTAATTTGGTTGTATTTCTTATTATATTGTATTAATTTAACTGCAGCTCAGCTGTTTTATGTAAATTAATTTCTATAAATTATTGTTTTAAATCCTCATGGTCACTACCATAATAATTATTATTGACGGGATTGCTACCATTATCATTATTTAGGATTTGTTTCGTAATATGCGTTTTCCATTGCGCACACTACTCCGATTTGGTATCGGCCGATTTTTCATACAAATTAGAATCGAGCCCAACTATCGGTCTGTGCCTAGACTTAGTCCACAGCTTCCACGCCACAAGCTGTGTACCTTCGATGATGCCGGTGAGCTCGCGGCCGGTGAGCTGGTCGCGGTCGGAGCGCAGCAGGTCGGCGTAAGGCTGCGAGTAGCGCACGCTGCGCCAGGACACATCCAACGGACGCACCGCCACGTGCCGGTACGCGCCAGACATGCTGTAGCATCTGGAGATTACAGAAATAAAATAAAAATTCATAAAATTCATTTATTTTTGCAAATAGGCTTTAAAAAGGCGCTTTTACACGTCCCAATATTAACCCTACCACTGCTTCGGGACAATAAATAGGCCAGTGCTGAGAAGAAGCAGCGCAAGAAACTCAGTCACTATTGTCAGCCTCCTTTTCAAGGTTTTACAGTCTTTAAAATATACAAATTATAGTCATAAGTATTGATGCGAGCTAGGTAGTTAAACATTCCAAACATTTTTATCTTTTATATAATCATCAACTTTATAGTAGCCCTTTTTCATTAAGGTGCTTTTGATACGTGCTTTAAATTTATGAATGGACAATTCTACAACAGTTAAATAATGGTACGATCGGTAATTACATCCATACTGTGTCATCTATCGAACACACAAATATACAGGGAGGAATTTTGTAATGCCACCTGGAGGGAAAGTACTCTTAATATTGTAGACTAGCGGCCGCCCGCGACTTCGTACGCGTGGATCCCGTTTTACCCCCTTTATCTATCTTACGCGGTTTAGATTTTTTCATACAAATGTTTTTTCCCGCTAACTCCCGTTCCCGTGGGAATTTTACAATATCCTGTTGTAACTAAGCTTTAAGTTTACTAAGGTACCTGCATGCCAAATTTCAAGCGTCTAACTTAAGCGGTTTAGACTTTTCATACAAAAAGATTTTCCCGCTAAATCCCGTTCCCGTGGGAATTTCGGGAATTCCTTTCTTAGCGCACCTCTACGGTACCTAAGCTTCCCTATACGAACGTCCCTTCCAAATTTCAAGTGCCTACGTTTAGCCGTTTAGGCTGTGCGTTGATATGTCAGTGAGTCAGTCAGTTTCTCCTTTTATATATTTAGATTACATTAGCGCAGCGCCGCTGCATCAGTTTCCGATGGCTTCCAAATGGAATTCTATATAAATCCAAGGAAGAATAATTCAGCAAGGTTGCGAAATGACCGGAGCGGAAAAATCGAAGATTCACGAAGATGTGCAGATTCCACCCTAATCTCTATGATCCGTGGAACCCGCCAGCCACATTCAAGCAGCGCAACTGGTACCACTTAATAGCAATGTTAAAAACTCCTTTGTTATATCTTCCAAATAAATCACCGCTACAACTTAGAAACTCGAAGATCATGCTCTTTGGAGTTCTCAAGAGAGTATTGCGAAACTCTGAGATCGCATTCTTTAATGGCGTCTAGTAGTGGACGTATTTTAGTTAAAAAGGAAAATTCAGTTCAATAAAAACCAAAGAATATTCGTGGCATCACTAACTGCAGATAAATAAAATTAATTAATTAAAAAACAGAGCCTATATTTATCGTAAAATTAGAAAATGGTATGATTAGGTTCATAAACAAATTAAAAACCACTAACTTGACTTTATGCCTCAGATCCAGCTTCAAATTATCTTTCGCCATCTCCTCTTCATAGAAGTCCTTCATGTTGGGCGGGTAGTCGATATTGTACCCTGGTAACGGCATGATAATGTCGAAAATCGTGTACTGGCCGCTCTCCGCCTCTTCCTTGGTTAGCACTTTGACGGGGACCTGAAGTTTGATACAGTATTTTTTTAAAAGCATTTTTAATCCACACTAATATTATCAAGTGGAAAGATTTGATTGTTTGTATTGAATAGCCTCCAAAACTGCTAGACAGATTAAAAAAATTCTTTCGTGTATAATAATGGTGGTTTTTAGCAACCTTACAAAGTTTATTTATTATAAGCTTGCATGACTGTAGGAAAATGAAACAAAACTGTGCAACGTCACGTTTAATTCTCTCAAAAAGTCATTTATTTATCTCATCAATGTTGTGATATTTTAATCACTTGAAATAGAATTTTATCTGACACTTTAAATATGCATCCCGCACAAACCAATAACAAAAATATGTAATAAAAAATTACCTTTGGCTTCTCATCGTTATTTTTGTCCTTGTCTCTCTTGTCAGAGCTGTCGTTATCGTTGTCCGCAGGCGCTTCGGAGGCGTCATTGGTGTCAGCATCAGATTCATTCTCGTTGTTATCGTCGTCTTCGAACTCGCCGTCGTTCATCTCTTCTGTAACTGTAATGAAATTAATATTATGAAGGGTTGTCAATTTACTTTTACGACAAATATTGCTGGTAAGGAATTGAGAATTGCGACTTTATGATAGCGATGTTCTTGATGAAAACCGATTCTTGGTAAAACATTTTTCATGATACAGTTTTCATCATTTATCAAAGTCGGCTCGAAAGACATTTGGGAATTATTCTCCAGTAGTAATATATTCTCCAGTTGTTAGAGATAAGGTTTTGGCTAATGTGAGATGTCATAGATCGTAGAGCTGATGGCCGTTGGGGCAGAAAAGTTCTCGAGTGGCGACCACGCCGTGACAATGCTCGCTCGTATGTGAGGCCTTGTCGAATAGTAATCCTGTAGGGTGCCATCGCGCTTGTTTTGTTTTCGATGTAAACTTGCGGAGATGAATTACAGGCCTGTTTTATTTAAATAGTGTAACTGTATTATTTAAATAGTCCATCCAAATAAAGATTTTGACTTTGACTTGACTACAATATTTACCTATGTGCTGTTCGCTGCCCGCAGGCACCAGGTCTCCTTCCGCAGGGCGGAGGCCGAGTCGCTGGATCCGCTCGGACACGGCGCGGTTCCACACCAGCGACTGGTACGAGTGCAGGTAGAGTAAGCGAGTGTTGCGTGCCAGCTGGAATTGGAGATGGGTTAAAGTGGGTGAGGATAACGTAACTATTAGACTAACTGGTGAACGCCAGACCTACGTCATTTTATAAAAGCTGAAAGTTTGTCAGCGTATGCTCCCAATATAGGATATAATGTTGGTGAATCATGAAGGTTGGATGATCGTGGCTTTGGCAGCTATCCTAAAAAAACTTTCTGGCAAGGAGTTGGAACTTTCAAAACTGTCTGGCTGATGTGGAAACAACTTCTAATCATTGCCCAAATATACATAAATATCAAATTTTATGGTATAATGTAAGTAAAATTACAGTCTATTGAATATACAGAAAAATTAGGCTTACGTTATAGCATAAAAGCTGATTTTTATATAAAATATTAGGGCAATAATTAGAAATCTTACTTCATCAGCCAGACAGTTTTTTTAGGATAGCTGCCAAAGCCACGATGACCCAAACTTCATGATTCACCAAAATGACGTAGGTCTGGCGTTTACTAGCTCTTAGTCTATATGTAATCAACGATACCGGACAATGTTATGAGATGAGTTAAGATAGTATACACAGTCTGGGTAATGAAGCAGCAAGATTCTGGAGGCCACGTACCAGAAAACCCAGCGTGGGACGTCCACCTACGAGGTGGACCGACGACCTCATGCAAGGTAGCAGGAAGGCGCTGGATGCAGGCCGCTACCAACCGCGCGATGTGGAAATCATTGGGGGAGGCTTGTGTTCAGCAGTGGACCTCCTGAGGCTGAAACGATGATGATTCACAATTTACGAGGCGCAGTATTTACCAAGCACGCTTTGTGCTTCCGTTCATGATAAGCCTTCTTCTGCTTAACCGTACTAATACTGTCTAATACTACTTGTAAATCGTGATTCTTTCCTCCACAGAACAGGCAATGCCTAGTGTGGAGGACTGTCTTTTGTTTTGTACTACTTGATTTGGCAATAAATATTTTCATTTTCATTTTTCATTTCATTTTCCTTAGCTTTTATGAGCTAGCGTTCTGCAAGAGCGACCCTTACAAGAATGAGCCTTATGTCGCGGGCGGTAAGGTGGGCTCTACCTTGGACAGCGCGCCGACCAGGTCATTGGGCGCCTTAGCGAGGGCACGTATGAGGCGAGTCTCGACGTGCGCGCTGCCGGACATGCCTCTTGGAAGCGCTTGGAGTGAAGCGATGGGCCTGCTTCATGGCCATACAAGTGTGAGTCTTGTGTCGCAGGCGGTAAGGTCGACTTTACCTTGGACAGCGCGCCGACCAAGTCGTTGGGCGCCTTGGCCAGGGCGCGGATAAGGCGTGTCTCGATATACACGCTGCCTGCCGTGCCACGCGAGAGTGAGTCTTGTGTCACAGCCGGTAAGGTCGACTTTACCTTGGACAGCGCTCCCACCAAGTCGTTGGGCGCCTTAGCAAGGGCACGCATAAGGCGCGTCTCGACGTGCGTGCTGCCGGACATGCCTCGTGGAAGTGCCTGTAAGTGCCTTTTCACACGTTCCGGTTGCTGGCTATCCGGCGCCGGGTACCCGGTCGTGAATGTATGGGCATGCCGGATTAATTACGCCGGAACATGTGAAAGCTACGTACCATGCGCATACACTTCACCACCGGGTACCCGGCGCCGGATAGCCGGCAACCGGGACGTGTGAAAAGGGCCTAAGGCTGCAATGGGTCCGGCCTCGCGGCCACACGAGACTGAGCCTTATGTAGCGGGCGGTCAGGTCGACATTACCTTGGACAGCGCGCCCACCAGGTCATTGGGCGCCTTAGCGAGAGCGCGTATGAGGCGCGTCTCAAAGTGCGGACGGACATGCCACTTGGAACCGCTTGTAAGGCTGGAATGGAGCCAGCTTCGTGGCCATACAATAGTGCGCCTTATGTCGCGGGCGGTAAGGCCGACTTTACCTTGGACAGCGCGCCCACCAGGTCATTAGGCGCCTTAGCGAGGGCACGTATGAGGCGTGTCTCGACGTGCGCGCTGCCGGACATGCCTCTTGGAAGTGCCTGGACTCTTGGAGTGAAGCGACGGGCCATGAAGCATCATGGCCATACAAGTGTGAGCCTTACGTCGCAGGCGATAAGGTCGTCATTACCTTGGACAGCGCGCCCACCAGGTCGTTGGGCGCCTTGGCCAGGGCGCGAATAAGGCGCGTCTCGACGTGCGCGCTGCCAGACATGCCTCTTGGAAGCGCTTGGAGTGCTGCGATGGGTCCGGCTTCGTGGTATCGTTGTAGCGCCGGCTGAAGCATGCCTTCGCGCTCTTCCAGAAGGGAGTTTATTGCCTGTAAAATAAGATTGAGTTTACATTATTCGCGTGCGCACACATAATAGCACAACAAACAATATTTAGAAACGTATTGAAATGATGGTGGAGCTTTAGTGACTTAGTAATGGTCCACTTACATCTCTAAAGTTCCATTGCAGCAGCTTGCGTCCTATCTCGTAGATAGGCGTGTTGACACGAGACCCGAAGCTCGTAGTAGTTGATGAATTTATTCTCATGTAGTAGACATCTAGCTTGCATTAGAACTATCGACCTTAGTGCCAATACTACGCGCTACTTACTTCTCTAAAATTCCCTTGCAGCAGTTTTCGTCCAATTTCATAAGTGGGCGTATCCACACGAGTCCCGAAGCGCTGTAGCCCGTAGTAGTTGATGAAGCCATTCTCCTGCAGCAGTCGGCAGGCGTTGTCCACGACGTCGTCGGTAGCGGTCACGTTGCGCAGCGCTATGCGGAATCTTTAAGCACGTCTGCGTGTTAATAATATGCTGTGAGGCGTCGGATAAGTTTAAAAGGTTGTTTTTATGGTTCGTAAATACTTAATTTTAAACTTTCCGAGTTGCCTAACTGAATTAATTTAAACAGGTTAATATTGAAATAATACTTGTATTTGCCTGACGTTCCGACTGAATTGCACTGGCGGTAGTCATAGGCTGTCTGGAGCGTCGAGTGCGCGATCCGTATGGTGAGTGGATTCAACAATTCTACCCCCATGGTATTATTTCTTTTCCACCAAGTGACCACGGCTGGTGCAACTCGGTCGAAACGTCATGCAAATACAGGTAATATTTTAATGTTACCTATCCGCGTATTGCGTTAAAACCTGTTTAAATTGATTCGTAAATACTTTTTTTTAGATGTTGGTGGTTATTGAGCGTTAAATTTGAGCTACTTCGAGTCGTGAATGACAGTGTTTAAACTTAGAGTGTGTATGGACTTTGCGATGCTACTGGTTTGATAATTTCGTTGCGTGTCCAATGACAGTTCAACTTTCCCCCGGGACAAACTTGACCTTCACTGGTTGGGTTTTTATCCGGCTACACAGGACTTGCAGCGGTGGAAACGAGAGGTGGGAATAGTCCCGTACTCGTTTGATACACAGCGAGTTTCCAGCCTTGCGAGCAATCTCACATTATCTTATGTTATTTTGTTGTTATTACGTCTTTATTCGGTCTGCAGTCAGTTTAAAGTAATCATTCATTATGCATACTGTATACATACAATACATACATGCACGCACTTTATCTCGAAATTTCAATGGGAAGACTGGTCTCCACGACACAGGGAATCCTAGTGTGGAGTCCAGTGATGCTGTTAGTACATACTTACTGTATAAATTGTAATCCGTTTCTATTCAGAATGTAACAGTAACCAGATCATATACTGTAATATTTTTGGACTAAATAAATAACATTTTCATTTTCAGTCTTAAATTGTACGGGATTCAGTAAGATGACGTCATCATTTAGGAAATCTAGGATCTACTTTACTTTTCTTATTGACATAGATTAAAAAGATATAGCGCTTAATTGATTCAGTGCCTGAGATATGGAAGGGGTACGGGAGAGGCAACATTGACATATACACACTGACCAGTGTGGCAAATCCTTAAAGGCATATAGCGACATTTTGAGGCTGCTCGCNTCGTTCGGCCATGTAATCGCCTTAATATTGAAATAATACTTGTATTTGCCTGACGTTTCGACTGAATTGCACCGGCCGTAGTCATAGGCTGTCTGGAGCGTCGAGTGCGCGATCCGTATGGTGAGTGGATTCAACAATTCTACCCCCATGGTATTATTTCTTTTCCACCAAGTGACCACGGCTGGTGCAACTCGGTCGAAACGTCAGGCAAATACAGGTACAGGTAGGTTTTAATGTTACCTATCCGCGTATCGCGTTAAAACCTGTTTAAATTAGTTCGTAAATATTTTTTTTAGATGTTGGTGGTTATTGAGCGTTAAATTTGAGCTACTTCGAGTCGTGAATGACAGTGTTTTAGAGCGTGTATGGACTTTACGATGCTACTGGTTTGATAATTTCGCTGCGGATCCAATGACAGTTTAACATTCCCCCGGGACAAACTTGACCTTCACTGGTTGGGTTTTTAAAGGTGGTCAAGCTGAAGATCTCGGCTACACAGGAGTTGCAGCGGTGGGAACGAGAGGTGGGAATAGTTCCGTACTCGTTTGATACACAGCAAGTTTGTAGCCTTGCGAGCAGGCTCACATTATCTATACGCATTTTTATGGATTTGCTACATTATATGCGGTCTGCAGTCAGTTTAAAGTAATCATACATTATGCGGGCTACATTTACTTTGACCTGACTGAAGACTGAATCCAGTGTGACAAATCCTTTAATGTTAAATTGGACGGGATTCGATATATTATGGTACAATGAGACAGCGAGGTTCTGGAGTAGAAGCCACGTACCGGAAAACCACTCACAAGGTAGACCGATGACCTCAGAATGTTAGCAGGAAGGCGCTGGATGCAGGCCGCTACCAACCAGGTGATGTGGAAATCATTGGGGGAGGCCTATGTTCAGCTGTGGACGTCCTGTGGCGGAAATGATGACGATGATGTATGGGATTCAGTAAGACGACGTCATCATTTAAGAAATCTGAGATCTACTTTGCTTTTCTTATTGAGATAGGTACATAGCGCTCTCTGAAGAACATCAATCTTTTAAACTGCGATCTACAACTCGCCTGTCAAGCTTGGGGATTATGGCAAAACCCTCCACTATAGTGGAGGAGGCTCATAGTCCACCTTGTGGTCCAGTAGTGGACTGTACAGTAGTGGGCTGATGATGATGATGAGGATGATGATTGTGTTACAAAAAAATCAACAGACTAATGTGCACTTTCAAAAACAACGTTTCCCACTCACTTGTTCCCCTTGAGCATGCCGAGCCTCAGGTGGTGCGCGCTGAAGCTGTAGTTGCCGACGCAGACGTCCCGCAGCGCCTGGCAGGCGGCGGCCACGCGGCGCGGCGCCACCTTGCGCAGGCTGAACCACTGCGACGTCACCGCGCGCCGGTCCTTGCTGCCCGCGGGCCCACCATTGGGGGCTTCATGCAAGTATAAATACCTCCCCAAAATGGTCTGGTGCCGTGGGCTATAGTGATTGTAGTCACTAGTGGGCTCTGATACTAATCCCCTCCCCCCTTCTAGACATGGCTGGTCAGAGGCCAGACCCCTAGACAGTAACCCTAGACACACCAATGGAGGGCATGTACCGGGCGCGCAATCCTCATCACGCATTGGTTCCCGCTGAAAACCAGCTTCTCGGCATGACGTTTCATAATATGTCGCGATTTTTGCTGAGCGGGCGCCTTTTGCTTTGTCCACCATATTGTGCTGAATAAAGACTTTCTTATTCTTAAGCAGCCCGCGTAATATATGATTACTTTGACCTGACCGCTGCAACCAGTGTGGCAAATCCATAAAGGCGTGTAGCGACATTTTGAAGCTACTCGCAAGGCTGAAAACTCGCTGTGCATCAGACGAGTACAATCGCAAGAAACCTCGCGAGCAGCTCGAATGCAGCCCGCATAATATGATACCTGACCGCAGTAACCAGTGTGACAATCCTTAAAAGTGTGTAGCGACATTTTGAAACTACTCTCAAAGCTAAAAAAAACTCGCTGTTTGATGTACAGCAAACACGAAAGAAACCTCACGAAGCTCCACAACGTCAATGCCACCGTAAGATCGATGTACAGTGTCCCACTCACTTGTTCCCCTTGAGCATGCCGAGCCTCAGGTGGTGCGCGCTGAAGCTGTAGTTGCCGACGCAGACGTCCCGCAGCGCCTGGCAGGCGGCGGCCACGCGGCGCGGCGCCACCTTGCGCAGGCTGAACCACTGCGACGTCACCGCGCGCCGGTCCTTGCTGCCCGCGGGCCCACCATTGGGGCATAACTGGTCAGGGGCCAGACCCCCCTGGAAAATACCCCCCCTGGAAAATACCCCTAGATACGCCAATGGAGGACATGTACCATATACAATGAATGATTTGTCACACTGGATGCGGTCAGGTCCATGTGAATGCAGCCCGCTTAAGGTAGGATAATTTGACGTGACCGCAGATCACAACCAATGTGACAATCCTTAAAGGCGTGTAGCGACATATTAATGGCTGCTTGCAAGACTGAAAAAACTCGCTGTTTGATGCGCAGTAAACTCACAAGAAATCTCACGAAGCTCCACAATGTCAATGTCACCGTAAGATCGATGTACAAGCTTCCCACTCACTTGTTCCCCTTGAGCATGCCGAGCCTCAGGTGGTGCGCGCTGAAGCTGTAGTTGCCGACGCAGACGTCCCGCAGCGCCTGGCAGGCGGCGGCCACGCGGCGCGGCGCCACCTTGCGCAGGCTGAACCACTGCGACGTCACCGCGCGCCGGTCCTTGCTGCCCGCGGGCCCACCATTGGGGGCTTCATGCAAGTATATAGCCCTCCCCCAGAATGGTCTGGTGACCCCCTCTTACTTGTGAGCTATGATACTAATCCCCCCCACCTAGACATGGCTGGTCAGAGGCCAGACCCCTAGACAGTAACCCTAGATACACCAATGGAGGGCATGTACCGGGCGCGCAATCCTTATCACGCGTTGGTTCCCGCTGAAAACCAGCTTCTCAGCATGACGTTTCATGTCGCGATTTTTGCTGAACGGGCGCCTGTTCNCGTGTAGCGACATATAAAGGCTGCTCTCAAGGCTGAAAAAACTCGCTGTTTGATGTACAGTAAACTCGCAAAAAATCTCGCGAGCAGCTCTAATACAGCCCGCATAATGATACCTGACCGCAGATCGCAACTAGTATGACAATCCTTAAAGGCGTGTAGCGACATATTGACGGCTGCTTGCAAGGCTGAAAACTCGCTGTTTGATGTACAGCAAAAACGAAAGAAATCTCACGAAGCTCCACAACGTCAATGTCACCGTAAGACCGATGTGCAAGTCTTCCACTCACTTGTTCCCCTTGAGCATGCCGAGCCTCAGGTTGTGCGCGCTGAAGCTGTAGTTGCCGACGCAGACGTCCCGCAGCGCCTGGCAGGCGGCGGCCACGCGGCGCGGCGCCACCTTGCGCAGGCTGAACCACTGCGACGTCACCGCGCGCCGGTCCTTGCTGCCCGCGGGCCCACCATTGGGGGCTTCATGCAAGCTGTATACATACAATACATACATGCACGCACTTTATCTCGAAATTTCAATGGGAAGACTGGTCTCCACGACACAGGGAATCCTAGTGTGGAGTCCAGTGATGCTGTTAGTACATACTTACTGTATAAATTGTAATCCGTTTCTATTCAGAATGTAACAGTAACCAGATCATATACTGTAATATTTTTGGACTAAATAAATAACATTTTCATTTTCAGTCTTAAATTGTACGGGATTCAGTAAGATGACGTCATCATTTAGGAAATCTAGGATCTACTTTACTTTTCTTATTGACATAGATTAAAAAGATATAGCGCTTAATTGATTCAGTGCCTGAGATATGGAAGGGGTACGGGAGAGGCAACATTGACATATACACACTGACCAGTGTGGCAAATCCTTAAAGGCATATAGCGACATTTTGAGGCTGCTCGCAAACTCGCAAGAAACCTCACGAAGCTCCACAATGTCAATGTCACCGTAAGATTGATGCACAGTTTCCCACTCACTTGTTCCCCTTGAGCATGCCGAGCCTCAGGTGGTGCGCGCTGAAGCTGTAGTTGCCGACGCAGACGTCCCGCAGCGCCTGGCAGGCGGCGGCCACGCGGCGCGGCGCCACCTTGCGCAGGCTGAACCACTGCGACGTCACCGCGCGCCGGTCCTTGCTGCCCGCGGGCCCACCATTGGGGGCTTCATGCAAGTATATAGCCCTCCCCCAGAATGGTCTGGTGACCCCCTCTTACTTGTGAGCTATGATACTAATCCCCCCCTTCTAGACATGACTGGTCAGAGGCCAGACCCCCCTAGAAAGTAGCCCTAGATACACCAATGAAGGGCATGTACCGGGCGCGCAATCCTCATCACGCGTTGGTTCCCACTGAAAACCAGCTTCTCGGCATGACGTTTCATAATATGTCGCGATTTTTGCTGAGCGGGCGCCTTTTGCTTTGTCCACCATATTGTGATGTGAATGCAGCCCGCAAATATGATTATTTTGACCTGACCGTAGATCGCAACCAGTGCAGCAAATCCTTAAAGGCGAGTAGCGACATTTTGAAGCTACTCGCAAGGCTGAAAACTCGCTGTGCATCAGACGAGTATAATCGCAAGAAACCTCGCGAGCAGCTCGAATGCAGCCCGCATAATATGATACCTGACCGCAGTAACCAGTGTGACAAGCCTTAAAAGTGTGTAGCGACATTTGAGGCTGCTCTCAAGGCTGAAAAAACTCGCTGTTTGATGCGCAGCAAACTCGCAAGAAACCTCACGAAGCTCCACAATGTCAATGTCACCGTAAGATCGATGTACAGTTTCCCACTCACTTGTTCCCCTTGAGCATGCCGAGCCTCAGGTGGTGCGCGCTGAAGCTGTAGTTGCCGACGCAGACGTCCCGCAGCGCCTGGCAGGCGGCGGCCACGCGGCGCGGCGCCACCTTGCGCAGGCTGAACCACTGCGACGTCACCGCGCGCCGGTCCTTGCTGCCCGCGTAGCCCACCATTGACGGTTTGATGCTGGAAGATGTGATGTAAGTAGTAAGTACTTGTTTGAGAAACATAAGGCTGTGTCTCAGAATACGGAACAAACCAGAAACCGTCAACGGGCGTAAATGTGTATTCATATAAATTACTCCAAAACGCACTAGTTTGACTTTAGAGCAATTAGTCAATGGCCGGCGCGCGCATTGTTTACATATCCGTCAGATTGACACTTTATAATTAAATTATGCCGTCTTGTGCCGTTCCAACATGTAAGAATGCTACTGGAATTACGAAGAAAGTGCATAGGATCATGTTTTATCCGTAAGTAGCACATTTCCAATTCATTTTAATAAAATAATAATTTTCAAAAAAAATCACGGTTGTATTTTGTAAGTGTTGCCACAGGTCAACGGAATATTTTACCCTACTTTTTAGTGTCCCACTCACTTGTTCCCCTTGAGCATGCCGAGCCTCAGGTGGTGCGCGCTGAAGCTGTAGTTGCCGACGCAGACGTCCCGCAGCGCCTGGCAGGCGGCGGCCACGCGGCGCGGCGCCACCTTGCGCAGGCTGAACCACTGCGACGTCACCGCGCGCCGGTCCTTGCTGCCCGCGGGCCCACCATTGGGGGCTTCATGCAAGTATATACCCCCCCAAAATAGTCTGGTGCCCTGGGCTATTGTGATGGTAGTCACTAGTGGGCTATGATACTAGTCACCTCCCCCCTAGATATGACTGGTCAGGGGCCAGAAGTCTAAGCTTTCACGGAAGTCTAAGGATGTCGCAGAAGTCTAAGGCTACGGACGGATACTCGCGACATTCCCACTGGGGCGATGACGGAACGCCGCGGCGCCGCGGAAATTTTACTGGGTATACCCCGTCCTTTTCAGGGCGTCGGGAGTCCCACACACCACCCTGTCCCCCGGCAGTGGTGACGGTGCGCAAAGAATTTCTTCCACGACAAAAAAAAAAGGAACCAAGCCCCCCCTGGAAAATAACCCTAGATACGTCAATGGAGGGTATCGAATTCCGTACAATTTTACACTGAGTGATTTGTCACACTGGATGCGGTCTGTGGTCAGGTCAATGTAAATGCAGCCCGCATAATGTAGATTACTTTGACCTGATTGTAGATTGCAACCAATGTGACAATCCTTAAAAGCGTGTAGCTACATTTTGAGGCTGCTTGCAAGGCTGAAAATTCACTATTTGTTGCGCAGAAAACTCGCAAGAAACCTCACGAAGCTCCACAACGTCAATGTCACCGTAAGACCGATGTACAGTTTCCCACTCACTTGTTCCCCTTGAGCATGCCGAGCCTCAGGTGGTGCGCGCTGAAGCTGTAGTTGCCGACGCAGACGTCCCGCAGCGCCTGGCAGGCGGCGGCCACGCGGCGCGGCGCCACCTTGCGCAGGCTGAACCACTGCGACGTCACCGCGCGCCGGTCCTTGCTGCCCGCGTAGCCCACCATTGAAGGTTTGATGCTGGGAGATATGATGTAAGTAGTAAGTATTTGTTTGAGAAACATAAGGCTGTGTAAAGCCTGGTCCGTGAGCACGTAGAATCCCGTCCAATGACCCCAAGCTACCCATCCTTATCGCTCGCGCGTAATTATATTGCTGTCGCGACTGTGCGACGCGCGCCCACAGTGAGTGCGAGCGCGACAGCAACATAATTACGTGCGAGCGACAAGGATGTGACCAGGCAGACTCACGGACCAGGCTTTAGGGGGAGAAGATGAATAAAGCTTGTAAAAAAAGGGGAAACAGTAGGCTATTTTAATATTGGCCAAAGCCATACAGCGTACAAGACATCCACTAAAACCCAGTGTCTTGGCACTTGGCAGTAAAATATCAACTGTTAAGATGATACTGAGTGGGCGACCTCTTTGCCAACATTTTTTTTTCCTCTTTTCTCAAATAAATATTTTTTCTTTCTTCTTTCTGTCAAAGCGACGATAGACCAACAGTGTCGGCAACTGTGCAAGGTATGGCAAAAACATGAGAAATGTAAAATGCCTCCTTCCAAATGCTGGAAGAAGTTGGAAGGAGGTGAAAAAAATGGAATAAAAAATATTTAAAGTAAGGATTCTTGGCAAGAATAAGGCTTAATGTCCTCCTATGATGTTCACATTATTATGTTAGCTGAGCAACAAATAACACTACGTTATGCTTCAAACGTTTGCAGATCGCCACCGCCGACGCGATCACGGCGCGATCATGACAGGTCGCGTGAACTGTCATGGGTCACGCGACCTGTCATTGGCCTATGATCGCGCCAGCGATGGCGATCTGCACGCGTTGGTATGGTTGAAGCTTTAGGTTTTATTTAACGCTCATCTGACGTACACGATCGATGTCGCCATAGAGGCGGCTAGCAAACATAAACGTGTAGACTTGTAAAATAAGCTTCATGCATTGCTATAACTCCTGATTGTTCATTGATCACAAAAATATTGTTGTAGAAGTGTAAGCAACAATCACATGCAACATCAATCAGTGTTAAATACATTAACTACTTACTTTATACTTGAAATCCAAAAAGTTTGGCATGTAAATAAAAAGGGAAGTCTTCATTACAATTTCAGTCATCAAAATATATGGATGCGAAGCCTGGGGTCCTCATCAAATGCCACGGAGAAAAGTTGGAACGATGCCAGAGAGCCATGGAGAGACGCTTAATAGGAATAAAGAAATAGGACAGAGTGACTTGTAGTACAAAAGTTGTCAGCAAGACCAGTCATTATGGAAATCCTTGAGCAATGTCTTTGTCCAGCAGTGGACGTTATTCGGCTGAAACTAACGAACGAACAATTATAAAATTATACTCACTTTAACCTCAGCTTCTCAGCAATTCTTGAGGCCGCATCCATGGTGTCACAATTTTCCTTGTATACTATGAAGTGGACATACTCCCCTGGCCATACCCACTTTATTCTGTTGTCTATGCGTACTGAAAATCAAGAACAAAAGGTCTAAAAGTATAAACAAGAAACAAATAATAACTTCTGTAAAGTTATTTAGGCGTGGCAGTCTGTCATGGATTTTGTGCACAATGAGGGTTTTCGCGAATGAAAAATCCGCCAGATGGCAATACGTAGACGCAAAGTCCAAATGCTGCATGATTGGTTATTTCTGACATGACATTGACAGATATGTCAAAATTCACCAATCACGCAGCAGTCAGACCCCACATCCATGTCCCGCCATCTAGCGGATCTTTCATTCGCGAAAACCCTCATTAGTACATGGTTTCAATTTTATTTTGTACCTAGCCTAAGTGAATATCCCTTCCCTCTTTTATAATAGTAAGATAGATAAAATCCTACCTCCTTTCCTATATCTTGTGAAGCGGAGTAGTTTCTTATCCTCAATGTTGATGGTGCTGCCAACTATACTTTCTCCAAAGGCTTTTTTGACAGCATCATGGATTTTAGTTCTTTGTTCCTTTGACATGTTGGTTGCATCAACCTGAAAATCAAACCCAGTGTATGTTTAATACAGGAAAGACGCAATAAAGAGCTACAAAGTATCATACTACTTTTGACATGAGTCCCAGGTACATTTCCGATTGGTATCCGTTGGTAGATTCCAATTAGGAATGTTGTCAAATACAATGTATTCTAAATTGGCAGCGCGAATCAGAAGGAAGCCTTAAGAATCTTTTCTACAATATGACAAATTAATCATGACAAAAAATCAACAATTTTAGTACAGTTTGTTGCATATTATTATTTCACAGTTAAAAGTAATGACCAATATTGCAATTGCATACATACTTGACTTGCAGACAAGTACCAGCCTAGCACTGCTGTAGTATATTTTAATTACAATTACATAAAATGAATTATAATATTATTGTAATTGTATGTACGATAGAATATAATAATAATATGTTGAAAGAAAGAAAGAAGAAAGAAAAATTTTTATTTGGTCCAAAACAATTTATACAATTTTACAGTTCAAAGTATTTGTACATGTTTGAACCAAAATGGCATCCGCTCAGCATTGTGTCCTGCTCTGAGGTAGACCCCAGAACAGGACGCTGTTATTCTGCGGAGGCCATTTTCAAAAGAGCGTCACATTGGACGCCATAAACACTGGCATTTTTATTTTAAATAATATAATAGGTAATTATAAACTTAACAATTCACAAAACTTAAACAATTAGGTACATACAATTTTTAGTGTGTCTGCTAGGTGTATGCGTTTTGTATATGTGTGATCAGAAAGTGCTATATGTATCAGAAAGTTATGTTTATGCAATAGAGGAAAGAGATACAGAACATCTACTCAGGCACCGGACATCTGTTCGTTTAATAAAAATTCCTTTAAATTACGTTTGAAAACAGCATTTCTCTCTCTATAACCATTTGTAACCGTATTCTGGCAAATAAATGATTTTATTTATTACTAGCTGACCCCGCGAACTCTGCTCCGCCTTAAAGGCAATAAGTCAGCCATCGCAATTTTTCCTTATTTGCTCACCGTTTAGACCTACCCTGGACTACGACAAACATTTTAAAACCAAAATCAGCTCCATCGGCCCAGCCATTCTCGAGTTTTAATCAGACTAACGAACAGCAATTCATTTTTATTATACATATTATGTATTGCTGTTTTTATTTTTTTATTTATAGTTTAATTGCTGTCCGTTAGTCTGATTAAAACTCGAGAATGGCTGGGCTGATTTATTTATAAATAATAAATCTTCTATATTATAGAAGATTTATTATTAATAAATAAATAAACTTACTTCAATGCTTTCATCCGTGTCTTTAGTGAGGACGAGCTTATTGATGCTGTCCCAGGTCTCCAGCGGCAGTATCTCCAGGTTATACTTGGAGAGGAGCAGGTCCTCGTCCTCGTCCACGGCCTCGTCCTCCGGAGGCTCGGGAGGCATTAGATCTGTCAGTTTGGCTATTTCACCTTTTTCGTTTATTTCCGACACTTGGAAATCTGAATATCTGTAATCATAAGTTAAAATTCAGAATCATGATACGAAATTCAGAGAACAATCAGGGACTATTCCCACCTCTCGTTCCCACCACTGCAACTCCTGTGTAGCCAGGATCTACAGCTTGACCGCCACAAAAACCCAACCAATGAAGGTCAAGTTTGTTCCGGGGGAAAGTTAAACTGTCATTGGACCCGCAACGATATTAATCAGAAGAACATAGGAGTTCGAAATTAAGGTTCGACTTCCCTCCATTGCAAAGCGGATGACAGGTGACAAACAAAGGTTTAATACCTTTAGGAAAAGATTATGCACCACGGACAATAAATTAAATTAAGGGGGCCTATCTTATGAGCAATTAGCAACTACCTGCCAATAATATCAGAGAACAATCAGTAAATATTTTGTATACCAGTTTCTGGCTTGATAAATGATAATAACATCTATGTGAAGGACCGTGCTAACCTTACTTTACTATGGACCAAGTCACTTTTGGCTTATAATAACAGGGTTTGAAACTTGTTATTTACCTCATTTTGATAATGCCATTGAATCCTGCATGATCGCTAATGTATTTCGTCACCCCGATTTCGTCTTCGGCCAGCCGCTTGCCCGGTGTCTCACGCCGAGGCTTGTTCCACTGTTGATTTGCGTTCGTGGTCCAGTTCCCATGGCTAAAATTACGATCGTCTCGGTAGCCAAGCCCCCTGAAATTCTTACCGCCCCTCCAAGGACCTCTATTGCCCCCTCGCGCAAAACCTCTATTATTATGACCTCCTCGGCCTCTACGATCACCACGTATCCACACCCCAGATTTTTCGGTGTTCATTTCAACTAAATCTATAACCTAACCTTAAATAAATTAACACAATGTAACCTAAAAACGATGTACTACAATAAATTAGCCTAACAACTGATTCGCTTATAACTTATACACATAGGTACTACTGCAAAATAAAGAAAACTTTTGCCAATTTTGTTTCATTCAACAGGAAAATAAAATACAAAAACCGCCGCAACACAAGACATTGAAGACATATGTCAAACTTTTTTTTTATTGATTTTGAAAACTTTTCAAGCTATGGCACAAAATGTTGATTCTTTTCTTCTGAAATAATCTGAATATTTTTTTCTATGGGGTGGATTTTCACGGAGCTGCGCGGAGCGGAGAGGAGAGAGGTGGAAATATTGAAATCTCTCTCCACTTCGCGCTCTGCTCTGCTTCGGTGGAAACCTGAAGTGGAAACCGGGCCTTATACAAAAAGGCATGGTGAGCAACCTACAATCTTGATTTGGTTTTGTAATTTTTTGTACAATAGTCGAGCGCGGTGGGATTTGAACCCGCGTTCCTCGGATCACAGATGAGAGAGAGTCGGATCTCGAGTCGGCCACTCCAACCCCTTCACCGTTCGGCTATCATGGCATTTGGCAATAGTCTTCTTTTTTTTTTCATTTCAGTCATCAATCGTCATAGGACGGACGTCCACTGCTGAACATAGGCCTCCCCCAATGATTTCCACAATGGCCAGTTGGTAGCGGCCTACATTTAGCGCTTTCCTGCTATCTTTATGAGGTCGTCGGTCCACCTTGTGGGTGGACGTCCTACACTGCGCTTTCCTGCTGCCCCATCGGCCGCAGATACCAGAAAATGTTTTAGGTACTTACTTAACCTAGATAAACGAATGCCTACAGCCAGCTTAGATTAATAAAGCCAGGTACAGTAACAACAACACCTGCAGAATTTAATAATTTTCATAAATAAAAAGTTTGTTGATTTTTAATAAAACTTTATCTCAAAGTAATTTATAGGTAAAGTACTAAATAATAAAATACAAATTAATTAAATAAGTAATACAAATTAATAAATTGGTAATAAAACATAATTAAACATAAAATAAATAACTGTGAAAATTAAATCTTATGTTTACCTAGTTAGGCTTCTGTATGTAACGTAACAAAATTATTTTACATTTTGATAAAAATAACAAAACCTGAGAAATTAAGATGACTAAAAAAGACTGAAAATGTGTCCACGTGCATTTTTCATCTGAACACGATCAAGTAAAATAATATTTTTTTAACACAATCTAGTATGAAAAAACTACATAATGTTAATATTCCTGGGAAGAAGTATTTGTGTTGTTATTTGTTGTATTTTTCTTTGCAGTCTTCTTCGGTAGCAGCTGGTAATGGATGATGGGCATCACGCCCCCCTGGGAAAATGTGACTCCTTGTAGCATCTTGTCTAGCTCATCATCATTTCGTACGGCCAGTAGTATGTGACGTGGCATAATTCTGCAAAAATAAATGAGATTTGTAAGTATAGTCAGCGTCAAATAGTTCGTGCATAGAGGAATTATTAACCCTCTATGAGTTCGTGACATCCAAAGTGGCCAAAAAGTTATTCTAATTCTAACAAAGACGTGTTGCGAACAGTGCCGTATTATCCATAAGGCACTTTAGGCCAGTGCCTAGGGGCCCACTATGGCCAGGGGCCCAGCACTCCCGATTAAAAAATGAAAAAAAGATAATGTCAAAGAATATTTTTATGCAACAAAACTCAAACCACCTCCAAATTTCGCCTTATTTTGGTTTACACATTCAATCGTCATATATCGATATTGTGGAACCTAAATCATTTTCGTAACGTTGCAGTTGGCATTACTGCTTTGGTTTACATGACAGGTCGACAGTCGACGCAATTCAGAGGCTAAAAAGCCTCACAGCGGAGGCTAAGGAGAGGGGATATTACTTACGGGACCGCGAAGTCCTGTATGAGACGGCTAGCTCAAACGGCGCGGCGCCAGCGGGATTCCGCAGGGTTCGGTGCCACTCTTGTGGAACCTGGGCTTCAACTGGCTCCTCCGGGGCGTCCTTCTCGTGGGCATGAGTGTCATATGCTATGATGATAACACTGGTCACTGCCCGGGGGAAGCCATTTGGGGCCGCGGCACGGCTGGCGTCGGCGGGCGGCACATTAGTCGCTCGCAGGATACGACGCCTCGGCCTGAAAGTCACGCTGGAGAAAACTGAGGCCCTCTTCTTTCCGGGGCCTCGCCAGCGCGCCGCTCCCGACGCCCACATTGTGGTTGAGGACGTTAGGATCGACGTCAAAGGCCAGATGAAATATCTGGGCCTCACGCTTGACGGGAGGTGGCATTTTAGCCCGCACTTTAGCGGGCTAGTGCCACGCCTCCTCAAGGCAGCCGGCGCACTGAGTTGGCTCCTCCCGAATTTGGGAGGGCCATAAACGATGTGTCGTCGACTTTATGCCGGCGTTCTGAGGAGCATGGCGCTGTATGGCGCCCCAATCTGGGCGGACGCACTTCACAAGAGGGAGAATGCTGCCCTTCTGCGCAGGCCCCAGCGGGCCATAGCGCAGAGGGTCTCAAGGACCTACCGCACGGTAGACAGAAGGCCCGTGGAAAGCGCACGGTGCCGTCAGGCAGGAAGAGCGCGAGATCATGATCGACCGCTGGAAGGAAGACATGACACGCGCGCAGTTTGGCCGCCGCACTCTGGACGCCATTGGTCCTGTTCTGGACCAATGGTTGGAACGACCGCACGGGTTCCTACCGTTCCGTGTGGCGCATGTGCTGACCGGGCATGGCTGCTTCGGTTCGTACCTGCATAGAATCGGGCGAGAGGAATCCCCGCTGTGCCACAAATGGTCTTTCGGTTCCGAGCCTGGTCAACGCCATGCTAGGAAGTGAAGGATGCTGAAAGGCGGTCGCCTCCTTTTGCGAAGAGGTCATCCTTCAGAAGGAGGCAGTGGAGCGCGAGCGGGAGAACGATCCTCTCGCCCCATCGCTCCGCAGGCGGAGAAGGGGGTGGAGAAGGCGGTTGTACGACCGTTCTATTCTGCCCCCAGGTGGCGGCCAGCAGGCCGGGGGTGCGGGGGCACCCTTGTCACCTCCATCTGACGGGAATGGCTTGGCGTTTCGAGCCATTCCCGTCGGACCCCCTCAAAGGGGGCGTGTAGGGTCCGCCGTGTAGGCGAGCTGTCACCGGTCGGTGGTGTCGCGGAAGTCTAAGGCTACGGCCGGATACTCGCGACACTCCCACTTGGGCGATCACGGAACGCCGCGGAGGTTTTAAGCTCGATTCACACATATCAGTGAAGCCACAGTTCCGTCACAGTGTCCGCTCAGTTCAGTATCAGTGCTACAGTGTTGCGTCAGTGAAATATTTTGAATATTTTAAAATGTCAGAGAGCTGTTTCAATATTCTTGTTCAGACACTATGAAGTAAGCTATTTTGTTTTTGATGCCGCGGCGGCGTCCGTGATCCGACAAAAAATATCGTCGTCAACGAATACGTCCGTGATTGCCGTTGTCGGCACTGACACTGAGCTGAGAGCACTGTGTCGTTACTGACACTGACAAGTTGGGATGCGTTCATAGAAACTGTATGAAAGAATATTTCGCACTGTGCCGGTAACTGAGCCTGAACTGTGACTTCACTGATATGTGTGAATCGGCCTTTAGTGGGTATACCCCGTCCGGTTTCAGGACGGAGCAGCGCCCTTTTTAGGGCACCGTGAGTTCCACAAACCACCCTGTCCCCCGGCAGTGGTGACGGTGCGCAAAGCATTTCCTCCGCGAAAAAAAGGGGGGCCCGAAACGAGCTGTGCCTAGGGGCCCCGAGATGGTTAATCCGGCCCTGGTTGCGAACTTTTTGGCTACTGTGCGAGTCTCGAATTATTTAACGCTGACTGTACCTACTTATCCTAACATTATTACAACCAGTGGTAACGTTTTGAATTTTAAATTATCTACCTTACTAAGTAGGTATGACCTCCAAACAAATGACACTGGACCTATCTTTTTCAATTTGCAAATTGACGAAGGATAGTGTTATAATTACCATAATGTAGGTAGGATTTAACAGGTTCTGATTATAATTAGAGAAAGAAATTAAGAATGACGTCATAAGTACCTCGTTCTTTTACTTTCTTCTGCAGCTTTACCAGCCAGCTCCAGCATTTCGGCGGCCAGATATTCCAGTACTGCAGTTAGGTAGACCGCAGTGCCGGAGCCTATACGGCGAGCATAGAGCCCGTGTCGCAGTATCCTGTGAATTCTTCCCACGGGAAACTTCAGTCCCGAACGCTCGCTGCGTGTCTTGTTCTTGCGGTTTTTAGTAATCTTCTTAGCAACAACTGCAGATGAAATTTAGTTATTAGAGTAGGTACAGACGGCAGCACATCAAGCTAAATACAGTAGTCGTAAATACAGGCTTTTATAGTGCAAAAAAACGTACTATTCTGTTGCACTAAAGCCAGCTGTCGTCTGTACAAATGTACAAAAAAATAAAAGTCTAGTCATGATTTAAGAAAGTGATATGAATTTCATTGTTGTACTTTACCATTTTGATGCTTAGATTTTCCGTTGCCACGTTCAGACATTATTGTTTAATTCGTTGGAAATTATAAAACGTAATTTATTAAAATAAGCAATCGCCCAGCAATCCTTTACGATTTATTTTTGATTATGATAAAATAGACGCGAATGTGGGTAGTCATTTGCTTGCTCAACTTTTTTAACCGTTACGTATTTACTTACATAGCTTATAGGATAGGGGCAGGGCAGGGTTACGAGCGACTTTGTAAATCGATTTAAAAAATCTATTGCCAAAAAACTCTGTTTGAAAACAAAAGTAGGAAACATTAATATGAGATCAGTTTGAATCCGTGCCGTGGTGTCCTAAAAATCACAATAATTATTCGATTATAATATTATAATCGAATTTTTTCCCCACGATGTTGCGTCAGCGTAGTCAGCATGTTGAAGCTAAATCTTTAGCTTCATGGTTACATCCAATCCTTGGCGTAGGGTAAACAAATAAAATTAAACAATCTACCCTACATTTCTTGTACTTTTTTCTATTTAGCATGAACTTCGTATTTCCTTTTAGGGGTATTTATTTTATGCTTTACCAAAACTTCGAAATGCTATTAGTCTTCTGATCGACCGCATGTTAGGTTTAAAGGTACCTAGTAACTATCCATATCCAATAGTCATCCATCCTCGCTCGAATCGGCTGTACTTTTCTCTCCTTTCCATTTTATAGACCTTGTTTCAAATGCAATATGCAAACCGAATGTAGACACAATTTACTGAAATAAAACAACTAAGACCAGTCTTGTAAATGACATGTAATTTTGAATACTGTATGTAAACAAGAGATCTGATATTGAAATCCTCTATATGTAGTACAAAAAGTTACATTTTCCAAGATACAGTATAACACAAAATCTAATTATTTCCATACAAAGTAGATCTGGTATTTATATTTTACAACAGTAATATGCATAATCTCTTGTAAACTTTGATCTAAATATTAACTCATTGTATAAAGCTGCCAACTTTTGAGAAAAAGTGAAGTTATCCTGCTATAAGTTTTTCAATAATAATACTATCATATCAATCTAGAAAATATTCGAGATAAAATTAGTAGAAAAGGAACATTATTGAATACAATTTAATCACTGCCATGCATGGGCAAAATATAAAATGCTAAAAATACTAAAATTAAATTGCCTATCTAAAGCTATTATAAAATGAAATCGTGAATACTTTTTCTATACATTACAAAATTAACTCTAAAGGTAGCACGTTAAAAATATGTATTACACAAAATAAATGCAACTTGTGTCGTTAATACATGAACTGCTTGACAAAAACTAGTAATAATGTGAAGTTAAAACTATAATAAAATAGATCACTCTTTAAAATATACTATATAATTAATAATAATCAATATTTATGATGTACTTACTCAATGTGACATTAAAATTCAATTACATTAAAGAAAAATATACATAATTTTTGAAGAAATACACATAAATATCTGTTTTTTTTAATGCATTGTGCATGGAATATTTACTTGGAGTAAAAAGAAGTAATACAATTTAGATACATAATGCAAATTAAATTGAGTATTTTACTCCAAACGTCACAAGTTACGTAAGCAAAAGTTTTAAATAAAGCACATTGAGACTAATTTATTTTTAATAAAAATTATATGTACACAATAACAGCAAATACAAATATAAAAATACTTTAACAAAATAAACAGTTATGAGAACCAAAAAATTGCACATTTGAATATAACTTAAAATTACACTGGATTATAAGCTGACTAAACAACCATTATAAAATTTACCCTAACAATATTTGGTTACTAACTCTATTTGAGATTTACTTCAAGTTAGATCTAAATCAATTTATGCAAATACGTATGTGAAAAGGTATTCATTTTGGCAGTGTTTGACATTCATCTAGACACAACAGGATTACGTTATTATTAAAAGTGAGATCAAGTTTCTTTTATTGAATAAAATTGTTAGCGAAATGTTTAGAATTTTAATGAGCAATACATTTTAAAAACTATATCAATCTTGTTCATTAATGTATCAACTTTAAAATATTAAATTTCAAATTGGCAACAATGAAACATATAGCAATATACAAAATTCACTCATTTAGCATCATCAATAAATACATGTCACGCGTCAATTTGATCGTGTTCACGCAAATATCCTATGAAAATACACAACCATGTAAACAAATAAACTCTCACACTGCATGCACAATAGCTTAAATCCACCATCATTCGTCAAATTGTATCAAACATAGCAAAGTTTAATCCTAAGGTATATATCTGAATTTAAAATTCACACAAACATTCTGTGAAAACAACAGTATCATTTTTCTTACCTGTCTTATTTAAAGAATTATTTACTTACGGTCAGTAATAAGCAATTCAAAACTGCTCATTCATTATTCAAAAAGAATCTGACTAGTTGTGTGCTAACATTTCATATTGCTGTCACATTTGATCATAATTACAATATACCATGTCCCACAAACAGCATCTAAGCAATACAAATTTACCTGCCATACAAAATTGTTTGTAAAAGCTTTAAAATTATGAGCTTATTGAGCTGAGAGCACTTGTCTTATTATCACATAGTTTGTTATCAGTCGGCTGCAGAACTAGCTTCTGCACTGCATCTAAAATTATTTTAGAATTGTCCTCGTTACTCAATTCTTGTTCTTTACTATTTTCAGGAGTGTTGCTTTCTTCGTTGGAGTCCGAAACCCTCATCGACAGCTTTATTGTCGAAGACAGGAAAGAAATCGTACTGAGACTTACCGTTACTCACTTGCTTATTATCTTTTTCGTTTTTGATGTACCTATGTTTTTTCACATCGCCTTCTTTGCTTATAGAGGATATGTTACGTTTGGAAAATTCATCCCAGCCTTCAGTGGTTTTACCATGAACTGGATTCCAATCTTTCCTAAAGGAGCTTGAGGGTTTTGTCGTTTCACTTGATGAAAATTTTTGTTGTATATCATTGATTTGATTGTGATTTTCTCTGCTCGACACTATCTGGCCGTAGACCGGGGTGCAGTATGTTGTGTCTGCTTGTGTTGTGCTGCACCTGTTGTCTCTGCTGGGATGGTTCTGATTCAGTTGGCAATTGTTCATCCCCGAATCAAATTCAGACTTTTGTCCAGCATTCATTAGAATTTGTTTGGATGATTTAACAACATTCTTCTTGTCACTGTGTGATCTATTGGGGGAGCCACAGTCATTTTGCTTACAATTTTTTGAATTCATTTTATCTTCTTCATTGATGTCCTCATTGCCAATTCCATCAATGTCATACACCTGTAAATTGATATAAAAAATTGTTAAAAATCATTGTAAAATTAAATAAAATATAAAATTAAGATAATTGAAAACTATAAGATAATTAAATAAGCTAACATAAACATAGGTAACACTGCATAGGATATTTTAATGATTTTCTATTATTATTGTAAATAAAAAAATCCCCTTTCTTCCTCTTATCTTATTAGATTTGAAATGCGACTTCCCTTATTAGATATAATGGAGATAGGAACCTGATTAGATATGAAGCAATAATGATTATTCCATTAGAAATGCTATCCTGTAGCTACAAATCCTATATTGAACTTACAAACCTTATACATAACATCTTGGCTCATCCCCTTTTCCCGCTCCCGTTTGTTTTGGACAGCGAGCCACACATCTTTTAGCTCCCCAGCAAGGTCCCTGTCTTTAAGGATAACAGGACTCCGAGTCAGAAGCAGACCCGGGTTCATGGCCTCTACAAAGTCACAAAGGAGGCTCACAAGGGCCTCTCTGTCCTGAAACATGTGAAAAAATAATATGTAGATCATCAAATGACTCTCAATGTTTTGTTACAAATGATGGCAAATTGAACTAAACAAACACTGTAGGGTCTTAAACAGTAGTAATAGGAGCAAATAACATAACAAATGGGTATAATCTAAAGTGCTGTTATCATAAAAATATGCATGTTAAGGGATGAATAAATGAAGTAGCAGTGAAAATTAAGTCATATTCTTATTGAAGACATTCTTTTAAAATATATAAAAATGTGGTTAGCTGCATTAGTCTGATTCAGCGAAGCATGACACATGTAGTGCAGTTTAGTTAACCACTTGGCATGGATACTGCAATGTAACACTTACAGTTGGATTAGTTGCATTCTTGCCATTTGCTTTCAAGATATCTGGATTTACCATTACTGCGAATACTAAGAGAGGAGGCCTATTACTGTTTGGTCCACAGCCTTGCGGCACCTGAAAATTGAAAATGAAGTCTTTAAACTCTGATAAGAGTTACGTTTATATGTTAAATAGACTGTTATAAAAGTATGTATGTAATTTCCAGTGTAAATCATGATTTATTTCACGATTTAAGACAAAAGCTGCCTTTCAACCAAATTTTTTTCACCCACCTGCATTCCTCCATACAATGGGATAGGATCATTGTACTGCTTTGGATTAGCTATTTTCTGCCACCCCAACACGTTTATGAATAGTTTTTCTGTCGTGTCCTTTATAGTATCCTGGATACACATGTGCGGTTGAGGTGGATTCTTGAACTGACGAAACGCTCTGGATCCGCGAACATATTGAATCGGAACGGATCTCTCTTGAGGGTTTTGGTTTTCCATAGCAAACGGGCTTAGTCTACACGGCTATGCACTGCTTTTTTTATGGGTATCACATCAAACATTCACAGTAAAAAACACCAATACCATTCTGAAGAAATGTCAAGTATAGTCCTGACGTTTGGAGTTTATTGAACCCTCCCGGGTGCTTTCTTGAACCGACCGTTGTTTATACACGAATGTTATCTCTCAATACAGACTTAATTGTTTATTTACATTTAAATTAAACTTGGACATACGAGAGAAAGTGTACAAAATTAGAAAGAAAATGAAAGATGAAGTGCTGCTTGAGAAAGAGAAAGATTGTTTGTTTTTTTTTCCATAGTCAGACTAGAGACGTACCTAACCTACAAAGTTAAAGAGCAACCTATGATGAAACCGGTTTACCGGTTTTAAAGTTACATCTTTATTGCTTTGTTACAAAATTCCAAAATATAGGCAATAGTTGGCGATTATTAATTTATTTGAGTATTAAAGTATCCATTTGCTTAGTTTGAGCCATTTGAGCATAAATTAAATTAAATTGGAAGGATCTAATTGCTAACTTGCAAACGTTTACATTGGTACAAGCCTCGTATAACAGAATCGCTAGATGGCGTTACTAGGCTCGGAAAAAATAAAATTACTCAAGTCCAAATTGACAAAATAATACATAAAGTGTTCTGACTTATCTTAATTTATTTAATTGACATTATTATTTTGTATTTTTAATTTATTTACTATTTAGATACTGCAATTGATTATTATTAATAAGAAAATATATTGAAAATTTTACATGAGTAATGAAATGATAAAATTATCAAAAATAAAAATTCATTATAAAAAATACATTATTATTTTGAGTTGTTTTAAATTCTCAGCTTTTTACGCTGTTATTAGTAGCATTGATAATTATGATGTTTAATCTAGTACCTACTCGTTGCAATGTGGAGCGTGCGTCGGCTAAAAGTTTTTATTTTTATTTTTTTTTACATCAGAAAAACACTTAATTATCATAAAACATTGTATATAGCTGCAATCTATGATTACCAATAGAACTAATGAAATAAAATCAAGGAATGAGAGGCGTAAATAAAAATATCAATAGTATCATTATAAGACATTTAATTAACGCTAATGTTATTGCTGTTTTGAGACAAATAAATACTTTCTATTCTATTCTAATGTGCAATCCATGAAATTCGTGTTTGATTACGTCACCAATCTATTCGGTTGGTGTTTTGCTTGCTTGTTCTTCTTATTCTCTACATACACATTGTCATCATCTTTTTCTTTATTCTCTAAGCAAAGTGAAGTAACTGTAGGCTCCTTTTAAAATCTGAAATTAAAATGCAATATAACATTATGAAGAAGGGTACATTATTTATCAAATTAATATACAGAGTGACAGGGATACAGGACCTATTCCTTGAAAGGGGTAATACTAGAAATCATTAGCAACAAATTAAGACCAGTGAACTACTTAGGAAACTGGATGGTTATCGAGCTGGAATCACCCTGTATTTTTGATAAACAATCAATTATGTTATTATTTACTTATGTAGGCAAAGTGTAATATAACATTTAGTGATTCTTCTATTGGAATCTATGTAACCTATTACCTACTGATAGTCTTGGTAACCTAAATACATTGCACACTTCAAGTAAAATGACACGTCATGTCGTTTGATTGATATCGTATAGGCTAGAATTATCGTCACTATCGTAGCGTAATGTGGCAATAAATCCCACCTCCCTCACATTAAAGATTCACTGTTGGAAAATACAAACCGTAATGAAAGTAGAAAGAGTCAGGTTAGTAAAAGGCCCCGCAGTGAACACTTTGCTGATTCGCAGCTGGCCAGCAAGGAGCAAAATACTTTTCCTTTGGCGAACATTCGCATCCCACCATCGACTTTCGTAGGGACCGAGCATCACATTTTCAGACTGGAATGGTTGAATATTTTATTAAACTTAGTGACTTTTACAAATAACACTAGTTTACAAGGTTTTTTACCCAGAGATGAAACTGATATGTATCGTTAGAGTTATTAACCCTTACTCAAAAACTGAACTTAGAAAAAATTTAGGACGAAAAATTTTGTAAATATTGATTATGTTAATTTTTATCATTTTTATACATTTATTTCTAAAAACAACCAAAAATGAGTCGTATTACTCCTTCTTTTATATTAATTAGTATCGGTTTCCCTTATTATAGACCAACAGCAATCCGCTAACATATTTTTATCCCAAATTCCTTGGTATCTTTCCTCAAAAACCTTCAAATCCTGGTGAAAACTTTCGCCATGGTCAACACTCACGCTTCCCAGGTTCTCAGGAAAAAAATCCAGGTGACAATGTAAAAAATGAATTTTTAACGACTTATTCACACCCATTCTTTGGTAATTCCTCAATAATTTGGAAACAATTTTTGCATAATTCTCAGATAAATTTATAGTTTCCCAGGAAACTTTTCACTACTGCTTTAAATTAATATCAAGCATCTTTCCCTTACTGGAATTGCTGGGTAATAACTCCTTCAGATTGTAGCACAGGTCTTGTGACTGATGCAACATCAAGATATTGTATGGTATTGGTTTTTGTTGTTAAAACCTGTAGTTTCAGTGAGGCAGAAGTAACAGACATTAGTGTGATTTGTTGGTTCTCTCCATAACATTGGGGTGCCAATTCGTATATGTTTTCTTTTTCCTGCAGCCTAGTGCAATAATGTAATCCTCAAATTTTCGCACACTACACCAGGAACCCATTTTTTATCGGGTTTGTTACCGAGATTAGAAAGTAATAGAAATAGGCCGGTTTTACGGCCTTAGTGACTGGTCTCTTCTTTTTTGACAATATAATTTGGCCACAAACTTAACAAAAGTTATTTGGGCTTAATTTACACTGCCTTGGTGACATTTTAAAACAAGTGAAAATGTTAAAATAATACTTAAACGCAATTAAAATAAAGTAGAAACTCCGTCACGGCTAACAAGACAGCTTGACGTGATAAAAATATTAGACGTATATTTTTGTAATAAGGGGGCTGATAGAAAACACATCCAATATGAATTATCTTTGGGTAAAAGAAAAACTTTTTTTTTGTAAACTAGTGTAATTTGTTTCATTGATTTTTTTTATTAGGTAAATAGTGTTAATAATTATTATTGTTGTTACAGTGCTTTGTACCTAAAATTAAATTAAAAAGAGTGTTTTACTAGGCTGCAAATAGTCTCTTACTTTCACAAGAACGTCGTTGCTGTGCCAACAGAAAATAAACAACTGTGCTATTCCAAAAATTAAATACTCCGCCATTAAAAGCTTCTGAGCAGCGTTAGTTGCAGACTGAAACACATCAAAAACGTATTTTCATTGTGTTAAACGTATAATATTAATAGAAGTAATTATCTCATTATACATCATGGTCATGAAATCACAACCAGACTTGTTGTAAGAAGTTAAATAATTTTTCGACGGTAATTTGAAGGTACCGATGCAGTACCCATCTAGCTAGTATGTATCAAATTAATTTCTTCTAGGTTACACTTACAGTAAGTTGGTATGCACTTGCACATAACATCAGAGAGCACATCACCACATAGACAAACATAACCGGCGATAACACGGAGTCAAATAATCTTAAATGTCTGAAACAATAAAAAAACTTAATAAACATTGATAAGTGGTAGGATTATCAAACCTGTAATTTGGGGACTTTTGGGAGTGTCTAATTATTGTTTTCTATAGTTATTTCCGATAGTGTACGCCTAACTAACTGCTGGGAGTATGAGAGTATGGACGATATCGATAAAATTTTTGTAGCTTCTGGGTAATAAGTATTGTTTTGTTTCATAACAAAATATGGTATAATAAATAGTATTATAGTAGGGTCACTTATGAAACTGATTCAACAAAACTGGATCGTAGTAGTGAATGTGTTTCTCATCATCCAGACAACTAAAATAATCAAATTGTTAATACGATTATTGAGCCTACTTCTTATGTAAAGGTAATTATTATTAAAATAAACATATTCTTACAACAAGCCCAAACTTCAAACAAAAAAAATAAAACAATTTTGATCTAATACGAGTAGGTAATCATATTCTGTGATAAATGGCAATGCCAGATGTTGTATGGAAGCTGGCGTCTTTTTTTTTTCGCGCGGCCATCAACCAAACATTGTTTTTTGATTACAAAATAGTGTAATAAACTAAACTTACTATGGCATGTATAGTGTATACCTCTAAACTCAGTCTGAACTGAGTTACGAACATTAGAAGTTTGATGATTTTCATACCAGATTTGCTTTTTGCGCGCAAGTTTTGTAAGAAATTGCAACAAAATATTGCGCTATTTTTTTATTGCGCTGATTCTGCTACATACTGATGTCTGGAGCCTTTAATGGACGGTATTGTTTGTTTACACGTACAATGTCACTATTTTGTTGCAATTTCTTACAAAACTTGCGCGCAAAAAGCAAATCTAGTATGTAAAATCATTTATATGAAAATTAAAATAATTAAAATAAAGATATCAATTTTCTGACTTCACCATACCATTTATATGCCCATATTAACATGGGCTAGTGTCGGCTCATATACCCATTTACCTAACACCCTGTATACAAGCTTTATAAATAAAAAATTTCATCTAAGTCGCTCCCTTGGGGGAAGGTGCCCAAAAGGCTGGCCACATTGCCACGCTGGATGGCAAGGCTGATGCGTTGGCCAAGGTAAAGGCCAGCCTTTGTATCGTAAGATGTCTCAATTAGCAATTGAACTTTGAAACATGATAAGAAAACTTTTACAAGTATATAATGCATACTGGGGATGGAGATACATTTCTCACCATTGTAATTGTTTTAGAACCAGGATCTACAGTTTGGACTCCAATGAATTTTAAACCCAACCAGTGAAGGTTGAGAAGTGCCGGGAGCGGGGAGGTTGCTTACCTCCTATTTTGGAACCCGCAACGAATTTAATCAGTATAATATAGGTGGAGTTCAAAGCATAACATCGACTCCTCACCGTTGCAAAACTCTCGCTAAATGTTGAAGGAAAAGGAACTTAAAAAATTAGGTAAACCTTTATAATACCATACAAAATGGACAAAATTAAATGAGATAATGTACTAGGTATATGTATAAATTAAGGAGATCTATCAAGTAAGCCGTTATTAACTATTAGGTAGTTGAATAGTATTAAACTACGAGTTAGTAGTCGAGATACTAGACGCTAGACAGGAACAACAATAAAATTAAAATAATAGACAAGATAACTATTTATTAGGTAGTACTTAGTACAGCTACTAGTACCTACAGACTCTCTCTGCACTACAGAGATCGACTAGTTTATTATGATAATTTATAGAGTGCACAGCATAGTTCAGCCAAAGTACTGTTGGTTGGTGGCGAAGGGGCCCCGAACACATTTCCAAGCAGCTTCTAGATTGGAAAATACAAACGTGGTCGCCTCAAACAATTTTGAAGCGGCGGCGCGCACTGTAAGGCTAATATGTAAGGTATGGCAAGACTTGGAGCAAGATCTAACGCGAAGCTCAAGTCCGAAAGCGATTCCGGACTATTGTGGACGCCCTCTGCCCCTTCTAGGGGATAGCTTCGTAGACTGAAAATGCTGATTAAGTAATGTACCTACTTCCACTCAACTAATATAAAAGTACTTACTTCATGATGAGAACATGAGTATTGTGGAGTTCTCGGACTCTGGCAGCTACTTCATCATCGCTGAGTTCAACTTCACCAGTGCCCAGCATTTGCTTGCATCTCTCGCGTAGTACATCCAACTTTCCGCCAAAGAAAACCATGATGACCATAATACTGGTGTCGTACGATGACATTATCAAAGCTCCATAAGAAGTTACAGTAAAATGCCACACGATCGTAATAAAAATACCAGGCGAATGGTTCTTATCGATGGGCATCCAGGAACTTAAGATATGAGGAAATAGTTCAGTCCCATTGCGTAGGCTCTCTCGATATGATGCAGATACGAAATGAATGAATGGAGATCCAATCGTAGTCGCTAAGGTGATAAAAACCAATACCCAGTAGGTGTATGTCACTCTACGACTGTAGTTTGTATATTTGTCAATGATTTTCTTCCTTTCTGGATCGTTGCTGTACCGTTCAACGCTATCTGCTTCAGTTAAGTAGTCGATGATTTTGTTCCATTTTTCTTGCCAAAATACAAACGTATTAGCTTTAACAACACAGACGACACTCAACATAGAAATCCTGAGATTAGTTAGCACCAAATCTAAGTTTGATCTTATTATGTAGAGCTCTATGTACTGAGTAAACACGAAAAATGCAACAATTTCATGCATCAAGATGTATAATGCTTTTGCTATTTTGTTTTCAGGTAGTATCAAGCCAGTTTTCGTTAAGATCCAAAAATTTGGACCATAAAATGGTTTGTCTGGATCTTCGAAGCTTTGCAAAAATTTGGTTATCATAGTGAGCGTCTTTACGTCGAAAGTGATTTCAAAAACGAATGATAGGAAAAAATGTCTGCACCTCGTTTATATACCCCGCTACCCTATTCATTATTGAAAACTAGTACGAGTACATTTCCGTCAGATTTTTATGGACAGCTGTGATACGCCCGCATACATTTTTAAAAGGTTTCAAGTGACAATATAAAGTAGGCACATTTCCTTTTGAAGGGAAGACTTGTTTTTGTAGGCATTGTTTCACTGTAGGTAGAATGTTTGTGTAGAAAAAGGAATACTTTTAAGAAGTACAGGAAGAACGTTAGCTGGAGAAAATAACGTTTCAAACCTATTTTCTATTCACATTTCATTATTTACAATAATAATTATGATGCATTCAGTTTGTTTTTCAGATGGAAATCTGATTCTCAGTTCAGAAACATCAGATTATAAAGAAGTAGTTAGGTACGAATTGAATAAATCGTTATTAGGTATATGTATTACCTAAGAAAAAGGTAAATATTATTGCTCAGTTGAGGTATTCTTAACAATGCAACCCCTGCTTTATGTTAATAAAGTTCTATGAACGAAGGCTAAGTTTTTCTAAAGAATTATATTTTGGTCTTATTTCATGTTAGGAATAATTTGTTATTTTATATAACAAATCATAGTTATTAACAAAACATCTAAAACTTAAGAATTCTTTTTAGAATTAAGCTGCCTAATTTGTTTGAAGTGGAAACATTCACGACGTGAATATAAATTGCTTTATAGTAGGTATTATTGGTGCTCCCAAGTCAAACTTACTGCATTTTTGTAGTTTTTGTATTGTTTTATGAAATAAATAAAACATATGATTTGATTCTCTTTTAGATTGATCCGTAAATTCTCCTACTTAATTATATAAAATGATATTAATATACCTAGTATGGTACTTATACCTACTAAATACAAATAATAAGAAGTTTTGTTAAAGCTGTTAACTTTTGCAATAAGTTGGTATGAATAAGTAGGATTTTGTAGCAAACATCGTGATGTCGACAATGAAGTCATCAAGCGCCTCACTAGCACGTGTCAGTTTTCCAATCGTATCATTACGTTGCAGCTCAAACCCTCAATTTGGATGTCTCTATTATGTCCGTGAAACGTGGGCGTGACGATCGCACCAACCGTTACTCGTAGTGAAAAAATAATGAAGCTATCCAAAAGTAGTAAGGGGTGAAAGACAGTAATTGATGTTAAATAACATGGTTGGAAATATCACACTTGTCCACTTCTAAAAGCGCTATGAATTTGAAAAACAAAACGGAAAATAATATTGTTTTATGATTAATTAGCTTGAACTGTAAGTAATAAGTACTGTGGGTCTAGAAATAGATCAAATCCAAAATAGAATCCATTGAAACTCCATACTAAAAAACTGGCCAAGTGCGTGTCGTAGGTACCGCGCGCAGTGTAGGGTTCCGTAGTTGTCCGTCGTTAACACAATATATTTCAGAAGCAAGCAATTACTCTTCATCTAAAGTCACTTAAATAATTTCTTCTAAGGAATTTTTATTAGGTATGAAATGTTATAATACATGAGTAAAATGACTATTACTCTTGAACTAACTGGTGTAGGTATCTTAACCGCTATAAACTTTCCTTGAAAGTTCATAAAAAGCACTATTATCATGAATTTTTCCAGATTTTTTAAGCCATCAGTTTAGTTTTTAGAGGGGGGGGACGCCCTACTCGGACAAAAATTGGCACTTTCCTAAATCGAAAATAGGTCCTATAAACCCCTAAGCCATTTTAAAAGTGCAATCCAACGATACCCCAATTACGATGGGGTAGAAGATGAGAAAAAAATCATCCCTAATTTACATGTAGGGGAGCTACCCAACATTTTTTTTTCAAAATTTTATTCTACCGTTTTATCGGTCTGATAAAATTAAATATACGTAACTACCTCTACAAATTACAGCTCCCTAGTGCCAATAGTTTCCAAGCAAAACCTCGAACAGACAGACATACAGGATACGTGTCCTCCAGTTCTTGTCAGGACTACGGAACCCTAAAAAAGGCTTTTCTTCGACATTATTTTCACAATTTGCATTTGTCTAGGGGGCTGGAATCATTGAAAAATCCTAAAAGTTCCTACTTATTGAAGGGTAGTTGGAACATCATAAACCATTTTTACATATTTTTTTAAGTCGAGGAGAAAAACAAGGTAGAGGTAAGTAGATAAATATTTCCTACCTACCTTAAGTTTTACGTAGAAACCGCATTTTGAAAAACGTTGAACCTTGAGCTTGAACCCTTAATTTCGTTAACAGCATCACACCATGTAAAATGCAACATACGAAAAGTCTTCGAAGCCGACGCGAATTAAATTCCTTTTTGTTTGTTTGTGCTTAAGGTTTGTGCTTAAAAAGACGGAAAGTATAATTATCGTTTGGAAACATTTTCAACCTCTACACGTCGCACAGTAATCAATAATCAGAATTTAGGATGACAAAAATATTTTAATCTGAAATTACAATTATCTAATAATGTTATTGAAAATATCATTAAGTAAATAAATATTTTTTTATTAAAATAATGTATTTGAGACTACAATCTTAAAAAACCGGCCAAGTGCGAGTCGGACTCGCGCACCGAGGGTTCCGTACAAACCTGTAGGTATATAACTTTGATTTTGTTACAGCTTAAAGGTACTATGGACCTGATTATTTAATATGAATTTCNGATTTATTTTATTATTCATCAATAATCTAATTCAGAACTTGAATATTCAACTGCAATGTCTGCTCATGAACGCTTCAAACTCGGTACTTCTTTCCGAATTCCATAAATTTCAAAATTTAGAAAGTGACAAAAAACTTTAAAATAGGTAGTTGAAACAAACTACAGCTAATTTTCATAGTGGACTGTACTATACGATAAACATGTCAGTCAATTTGACAACCTTTGTCGGAAACATTATTCAATGAAAATATTGTCCGAACCCTTGGTATTTATCTTCGACAAATACATTAACACATTGTGAACCACTTTTCTTTCACGACTTAATAAAAATATTTTAGCAATTTATTTCACAAAATCAATTGCACACATTTAAAATAAAGTTTGTTTACACTTTGACAGCAATAGACTGACATGCAAGGTGACATGTCAATGAACTTTTCAGTTACTGTTGCCATTAAAAGAAATTAGTACCATTAGTTTTCCGCAACATGGCGAGGGTTTTTATGTTCCTGAGCCCCGATTACGGTAACTTTTAACGTCTACAATCCAGACGCGTTTCTGATTCTGCGATACGATTGGTCAAAACAGCTGACGTACGCTGTTGAACGACCAATCGTATCGCAGAATCGAGAAGCGTGTCTGGATTGTTGACGTTAAAAATTACCGTAATCGGGGCTCTGGTCAGGCTATAAAATGCAACATACGAAAAGTCTTCGAAGCCGACGCGAATTAAATTCCTTTTTGTTTGTTTGTGCTTAAGGTTTGTGCTTAAATACGGAAAGTAAACATTTTCAACCTCTACACGTCGAGTAAAATTACAAAACCGATTGCAAGCTATTTTATACCGGTTTCAAAGCATTAGTAGGTACCGCTCTAGCGCACATAAAATGTTTTGTTTAAAACTGTGCCTGTATTACCTATTTTGGTACATGTAGATTTTATTCAATATGGTTAGTAGGTATATTATATCACGATTTTATTATTCTGATAAATTAATTATAATAAATATAATCTCAATATTATAGAAAGTATTTTTTGTCTGTGATGAGATAAAAAAAAAAACAATTTTGACTTTGACACTTTCGTAACAGTGACAGTTGACAGTTGTTTTTACCCAACTGCGCCAGGAAGGAGGGTTATGTTTTTTGTTTGTTTACTTTCTGAATTCTGATGAATTTATTTCATGGATAGCTCTTTTCTGTGAAATTTTCAAACAATAATAATAATGGTCACATGTGCTGTAGCTAATTGTAAGAATACTTCGGGAAAATTCTCAAAAAATAAAGACGGCATTACATTTCACAGGTATAATAATTATCTGGTAACATTGTATTTCAACATTGTATTTTTTAACATATTATGAAATGATAAGTTAACTTGCTAGCTTGTAAATTTCCTCAAACATGCCTTTTCTCTGTGCATAAAATTTACTATAACATTTTAAACAGCTATGTGAATTGTTCATGATCATTGAATTTAGTAAGTCAGACCCTCTACCCTCTGACCCAAACTTACTTCTATGAATTAAAACTGACTGAATGAAACTGCTATCATGACCTCATAAGAATAAAGATAACCTTATAATTAATCTGTTTACAGATTTCCTCGAGACAAAGCTAGACGGAAGAATTGGGAAGTGGCTGTTAACCGTGAGCAAGATTGGAACTCCACAGAGTCTAGTGCGGTCTGCTCAGAGCACTTTGATGCTAGTGACTTTTATTTGACGGAGAGCGGCCTACGGAGGTTGTCTTGTGAAGCTGTACCCATGTACAATATATCAGTGAGTGTTTCTTTATTCAACAAGTAAACATCCTTTTTGTTAACAGATATGGTTTATCCGTAGTATTTGTAAAAAAAAATTCTGCATCTGTTAAAAATTACATTTTTGTTATCGTTTATAGACTATCAATGGTTAGGTACAGAGATGCAAAGCAATAAATGCAATAACATTAATTTTGTCCGGTAAAAAGACAAAAGAGGAGGCTTTTGCCCATACAGGGTACCACAAAAATTAAAAAAAATATATTTCTAATCAATTTAATTTATTGTAACCAAAATGCTTGTGGAAATAAAAGCTTTATTTTTTTTAAATTATTATTATAAAGGTGAAAGTTTGTGAGTGTGTATGTTTGTTACTTCTTCACGTTTAAATGGTATAACTCATAGGTTATATTTTACTGCGGGTACGCTGCAGGGCACAGCTGGTGTTGTTTATAATTTTAAAGTGAAAGAGAAAAATACTGAAGAAGATTTTAAATTAAATAATTTAAGTACCTTATCAGTATTAAGCACTATATTATATTATTCTGTTGCACTAGACTAGTATAAAATTTAATAAAAATTTGTGAAATGATCAATTCTTTTTTAGCCATGCCAGCCTCTAAAAGCCACAATTTCTGAAGTAGAACCAGTCGACATAAAACCTTCAGATTCAGAAGAGGTCATTAAATTAAAATACAAGGTGCGCAGACTGGAAGCCATTGCAGAGAGCAGAAAACGGAGACTGAACCTCATGTGGCAACGGAAGAAAAGACTACGGAAGAAGTTGGAACAAATGAGGACCTACGTCAAACATTTGATCAAACACAACCGTAAAGAAAATGGAACTAAAAGTGTTGATGTAGATTTAGGATCATAAGTGACACTGATAATAATAATTTTGGTAAAATAATTGACATTTTGACTGATTTTATTTTTACTCATTGCTTACAAATTTCACTTTTAAAAGATAATTTGTGTTTTAGTTAAGTGTTATGGTAGCTGTAAGTTATAAAGCAATTAATATTATCAGTATAAATGACTCGAAAATAGAAAGATAAGTTTTAGTTATCTCATTTCTCACAATCTAGTCATCATTCGCTGTCCCTGGATCAAGAATTATTAATAATTATTATTCTTGATGTTGAGAACTGGCTTTTACTTGTGAACTATACAAATTTTATACAATATATTGTGTTAATTATGTGGTATCAGCAACTAAATATATTTATTTTTAAATCTACAAGACTGTTTACATTACATTTTCCCTACTCCTAAGTCTTCATTCCTACTCAGAAAAACATAATATAAATTGATCTATAAAAACAAAATGTATCATAATAAATTGCGAAAGTTTCAAGTGTAGTTTACCTTTGCAAAATCTACTGAACGATTTATAATAAAACAATAGTTTTAAAATAGAAGGTTTTAGAACACGAAGTCGCGTCTTATACCTAGTTTAAAAATAAAAAAGTATATCAAATTATATCAAAGGCATAGTAGTTTTTCAACCCAAACTACCGTTCTATACGCTACTTTTTTTTAATAGCAAACCACCGCAGTTTTCTCTGATAGCTTATCTTTGGCATTAGAAACCTCCGGCGCGCGCGGTGGGGAGCGAACGCGCCAGTGCCTCCGCCACCAGCGAGCGACGCGCGCGCATACCGTTACTGCAGCATTCCATTTTCAAATTCGAAAAACAATACGATTTCACTCACGATAAATGCTGTTTTGTGTTCAGTGAATGTGTTTACCGAATGTGCGTGTCGATTCTGCCATTGGAGCGTTAAAATGTGACTGTTAGGTTGGAGTGATATCGAAAATGGAAATTTTAGTGTAGATATGCATATTAAAATGCGGGAGTTATTAAGGATTACGCTAGTGTGTTTATGCGCGGTTCTGTTGGTTCGGGATGGGAGCTGTGAGGACACGGACGCCGAGGTATCGGAGGAGGTGGCGAGGGGTGAGGAGCAAGGAGACAGGAAGGACGGCAAAGGTTTTCTGCCAGGTGGGTTGCGCAAGCGCGGGTGAAAATGTGCCAGGCTGCCAGGGTTGCCACTTCAAACGTTTCCGGGATCCGCGGAAACGCGGGATTGTACTTTTTAATTTGTACAAGGTAGCATTGTTAATGTAAACAAACCTTTGTTTGTACAATACGAGTATTAACACATGTTTAAGTTATGTGGGTACATTGTACAGTCGTAAGACAATGGTATGCACTGGCATTTTTTGCTCGCATTGGATCAACTGTTGTGTATTATGTTATGGCGGTGAAGGTGTTGATTGCAATAATATTCAATATCTACCTACTTAGTCTACTTACATATGTTTTTTGTTTGTTTGTAAAATGTTTTCAACCAAGCAATGTGGAAATCATTGGCCTATGTTCAGCAGTGGACGTCGGTGGCTGAAATGATGATGATGATGATAATGTTTTCGAGTGATGTGATTTCTATTTTTCTGCATCAATCGAAATCTTCAATAGGTAGGTACCTAACTAAATATCATAAAAAAATATTCTGAAAATTTTCAATTTTCCCGAAAAAATCGCTGATTTTAAAACAAACAAATTGCAAAAACTTGATATGTGACGTTATGTACTAGCATATCTAATTCAACATTGGCACATAAGCAGTTGCAATACGTGCTATTTTGAAAATGAGATACCTACCAACTTATGATTGCAATAACACACTTATTGCAGTTCTAAGCAATTCAATATTGATACAGATGTTATTCAATGACGCCCTTACAACAACAAGAAATGATTCTCCCGGAAAAGTGTGTTTGGCGACCCTAGGCAGTAGGCAGGCAGACAGTAGCACTACATAGCACATCAAACAGTAATTTTTGTTGCAAAATTAATACCCCCTTACTAATAAAACTTACACGCTCGTTGAACAGTGTTTTAAATACGTTTAGTATGTAAATGTCATTTTAAAACAGTGTTCAACAACTGTGTAACTTTTTATTAGTAAGGGAGATAGACTCTGTTACAACCAAATAAGATGCCACTGTGTTAGCTTGATGTGCTGTCGTCCGTACATTAGGTATAGCATTTTCTTTTAAAACAAGAAATATTATCAAATTCTAAACCTTACCTTACCTTTACGTATGCCGTGTATACTGATTACAGGACCCTCATAAATTATGATCTTTACCTGAGTCATACGAGATACACAACAATTTAAAGTCTAAAATAATTTCAATTTGCGTAGCGTTGAGAAAAATACGTGCTTTAAATTCAGATTTTATTTTGTACATTTACCGCGTGCAGAAACGCAGGAATGTGGTCTACTCGTATATCGCATTTTGTCGCGTTTATTAATTTTTATTGAGGGCATGTGAGAAATATTATTTTACTAGCTTTCCGCCCGCGGCTTCGCCCGCGTGGAATTTTGTCTGTCACAGAAAAACTTTATCGCGCGCGTCCCTGTTTCAAAAACCGGGATAAAAACTATCCTATGTTCTTTCCCGGGACTCAAACTATCTCTATGCCAAATTTCATCAAAATCGGTTGCGAGGTTTAAGCGGGAAAGCGTAACAGACAGACAGACAGACAGAGTTACTTTCGCATTTATAATATTAGTTGGGATTTTCTGCAAGACTAATGTATGTAGGTACTAAACTATGCAGTCGAGACCAGACTGTTTTGGTTGCAATACAGTTTCTATTACAACTAATATAAAATGCATAATCCCTTACTAATAAAAAGTTACACACGCGTTGAAAAGTAGTTTAAAGTGTCATTTTCTAATCCTCACTTTAAACAAGTGTTCAACGCGCGTGTAACTTTAATTAGTAAGGGGGTTACTGTATAACTTGATGTGTCGTCATCCATAAAGCTTCTTAATAATTAGGTACCCTCTGATTCCCATATTATTTACGCCAACAGCCAAATACATTAGACATTCGCAGTACCTACCTAGGTATGACATTAATTTCAACAACTTAAAAGTAAATTTCTACTTTTATGGAAATATCTACATTGCTGCATTGGTGATAGTTTGCATCTTTTTTCAATTTCATGAAAACATACGTGAACGTAGAATTTCTAGAACCAAATTGCTTTATCTAAATAATATAAAAGGAGAAACTGACTAACTTAGTGACATATCAACGCACAGCCTAAACGGCTAAACGTAGGCACTTGAAATTTGGAAGGAACGTAGCTTAGGTACCGTAGAGGTGCACTAAGAAAGGAATTTTCCGAAATTCCCACGGGAACGGGAATTAGGGGAAAAATCCTTTTGTATTTAAAAACCTAAACCGCTTAAGTTAGACGCTTAAAATTTGGCATGCAGGTACCGTAGTAAACTTAAAGCTTAGTTACAACAGGATATTGCAAAATTCCCACGGGAACGGGAGTTAGCGGGAAAAAACATTTGTACCTATGAAAAAATCTAAACCGCGTAAGATAGATGAAGGGTGTAAAACGGGATCCACGCGTACGAAGTCGCGGGCGGCCGCTAGTTTATAAATATCAATGGAACTGTGAAGGGATGGACTCAGGCAGACCATATCTTCGCCTTGTTTACTGATGAAAAATTGTCTGAAATAAACGTAGAATTGAATTTCAATTGCCACGATGAGTTAAACAAACAAGAAACTACTCATGATGAAATTCTTCCAAGGCACACAACTAAAATCGATTTCTTAATTACTTTTAGTCACTTGACATTTGACTGCGTATGCCATACTTTTATCTACTACCCTCTTTATAGCAAGTAGGTACATAACTAAGTGATATTCTACGTCAGCAAAATGACGCGCATCGTTATTCATTCAAAATGTTAATGATGAAGAAGTATTTGTATAGGTATTAACAGTGGCTTAAAGCACATTTTAAAGTTTTGTATCAAGTCATTTATCATCTGATAAAGAATTAATGTCGACGTTATAATAAATAAATATTAAATAGAATTTGAGCATAATAATATGAAAAAGCGACTACTGATACTACTACTGCCACTACTTATGAAATTATTGTCAGCGCATGAAATTTTGAGGACTTAATTCCTGAATTGGTAATTTTTGTTTATTTTATTGACAAAGATCTACCAACAACACATCTTTAGGTGTTGGTCATAAACATGATGCTCGTGCGGTGATCTGTACACGAAGGTAGGTAGATATTCCCAATGCTAATAAGTGATCATCACCATCGTCAAGTGGTGAGGTTTCATTGTTCATTATTTTGTCTGACGGGGTAGGTATCTACTTCTTCTAGACTTTTTTTCACTTTTACTGCCCTCAAAGTATCTATCTAAAGCCTTAGGATTCGAAGATAGATCCACTTTTGGAACCCCAGACCCCCATGGATATAACGTATTACGTTTTTCTGGCTCTATCATGAATTTAAATATTGCTTCATCGAAATTAGGCCATCAGACAGTATTTCAATGTAATGCATGCATGCATATGTTACTGATATGATCAAAATGTGAAACTAATGCAATTTTACATAACAGCAATTATACAATGATGGCATCAGTGCATAAAGAAGTTTTAGCTCTTTGGTTTTTAGACTTTATGCAACTAAATACATTAATTCAATTCGTTGTTTCGTTTGTTGTTATGTCTCTGTGTTTTGTTACAAACATTTTTCTCTCCTTTTCAAATGACGAATTTGAAACAGGTTTATATTTGTTGATACTTTAGTATTTTTGAGCCAAGATCGTGAAAACAATGCCAACATTTCGGTAATCATTGTGAATTTTAATTCTGTCTTTGCGTTTGTTTATACCTACTTATTATTTTGTAACAATATTTTTACTTTGAAGCATACGGACCTGTTTAAACACCTATTGGAAACGCACCTATCTATCAAATAAACTTAATGCAGTTGCACCTTTAAAGCGTCATGTGTTATAAAGTAACTACTTGAATCTTTATCCCTAAGCTAAATGATCTTGCAAAACAAGCGATACTGTCCCACAAATAAATCCAAAGACAAATAAAATTGGAACAGATTTTCCTTACGCAACCGAATATTTTTTCCGAGCATTTCGTTTCCACGCCAACAATGGTCGTTCCGCAACGCTCGACAAAAGCGGCGCGCGCGCAGCGGCCGCAACGCATGCGTTGTGCGTTGCCATGTGTAATACATATTCATACTAATTCATGTCTCTTCATTGTCTTGGCTTTCTATACATGCTGCATTCCATGGATTGTCCTAGGCATTTGTTATGCCATAGTTTTCTTGGAA